CATAATTAATGAAAATCTAAACTATTTTTAAGTGATTTGAATACAGAATTAGAGCTTTGAGAATGAAATATAATGTCATTTCATTTTTGAAAATCTAAAAAATTAGTTTCAAAAGTCAGACATAATCTTATAAAATGTCTTTTTATATACTCTTTGTATTGAATTCATAAATCAAAGAGTTTTATCTCACATCTTATGTTAGGTTTTATTTTGAAATATTATTAGTCTTTCTAATGATAAAGAATTGGCAAAAATTTCTTAAATAACTAATAATTCTTAGGCTTTGATGCAAATAAACTTAATGTCAAATGAAAACAGTATTTACTATACTTTAAGCGTATATTTTGTTTGTATTTTGCAAACCTCTGCCTAACTATTTCTCTCTCGCCTTTTTGGCTATAGTTGTCGTTTTGTGTCTTTAAAAAACATAATTTATTCATTTGAAGACATCATAAATAAATCACTAAATTATTAATATCTTTCAAAACTATACTTAAAATTTGAAAATTTATTGATAATTATATACGAATTTAATAAATATTAGGCTAAACCTTAAGTCAAAGCTCATGTCTTTAAATGTCTTATAAATGAGATAAATATTCAATCTTTTTAAAGATAAAATAGTTTTGTGTCAAAAACGAAATGTTTTTTCAGTCATCAGAATTTCAGTTAAATAACACGAGAGAGAGAGAGAGAGAGAGAGAGAGAGAGAGAATTCAAATTTTAAGTATAGTTTTGAAAGATATTAATAATTTAGTGATTTATTTATGATGTCTTCAAATGAATAAATTATGTTTTTTAAAGACACAAAACGACAACTATAGCCAAAAAGGCGAGAGAGAGAGAGAGAGAACCTGTTTTCCTTATGTGACAAATAAATGAATTTTTCTATTAATATGAAAATCAAATAAATATTGATTTTGAAAATTTATTTATATAAATACATTCTAAATGTGTTCACAAATATTTGTCAAAACTTTAAATATAAGATTTGGCAGAATGTGTCTGAAGTGTTAGATTTTTTAATTTTATTTATCGCCGTTTTTATACATATTTGTAAATAAGAGTTAAATTTCACTCATTTTCTTATCTGAGGGTTTGATGAAAATTTTTGCAGATATTTATTTAGTTTTCGTAGCACTGGTAGGACTGGTAGTGCTCTGCAAACACTAGTGATGGCAATCATTGGGGGTCTGATGTTGTGTGAAATTATGGCAAAACTTTTTTTTGGTCGACTAAACTCTGCCAAGAATTTGTTTAAAATTATATAACAAAGCAATTGTTTTCTGCAAAACTATTAAACGCATAAATGATTAAAAATTAATTTTTTATTTAATCTCTTTTAATCACGAAATCAGCGGTTTGTCCGACAAAAACAAAACAAATGTTTTAAAAATATAATCACAACTCGATTACCATAAGAAAGAAAAGACTTTTCGATGCAATTATTATTAAATACTTAATTTTGATTATAAAATGCCTAAAATGGGGATTCGCTCTGAATTCAGTGATTATATTATATTAATTGAGATTTCATTGAGAGTTCAGCACAAAAAACAAAGTGAAAAAATGTTAAGCAAAACATTTTGTCAGTATTTCTAAACGATTTTAAAATAAATGATTACTTTAACATAAAATGGGATTTTCTTTTATTATTGCATTAAAAACAATAATCAATCAGTTTTTTGTTGTTAATTATTTAACAGATATAAAAGAGTCATTCAAATGTGATTTTATGTAAATCTTATTCAGGAATTCAATTATAAATATAAAAACACAATCACTTGTATTTAAGTTAATTAAATGTATGTTTCATTCAGTTTGTGTAGGCTTTCCACTAATTAAATCCTTGAGTTTATTGTGATTTATTTGATGTCAACGTTTAAAAACATATTCATTGAATGAATGAAATATTTATCAAATGCCATAAACATTGAGAACTGAAGTTCTCCTTATTTTATGGTTATATATAAAAATAAATGGATTACTAAACAAATTGCGTTAAAAACGTTAACTAAATTCAATGGATGAGAAGTTTGGTGTAAAATTGGGTATTTTGTATCCATTGAACTGGTATTGGATGCGAGTGTAGAGCACAGTATGATATGTGTTGACGAAAGTGGATTGCATTGGATTTGACACTTTCAGACACACATCCATACAATCCAATTCGTCTCTCTCTCGCTCTCTCTCTCTCTCTCGCTCTCTCTCCGTCTGACACATTGATTAGGCTTACAGAGGGTCTGATGACACGCCTGAACGGGTCCTTCCATTACCTCTTCTCAAACAATCACAATCCAAATGATCAAAGAATTGACTCTTTTTTCATATATATTATCGTATTTTTCTTGCGATACTATTATTGCCAAAAATACTCGACTCTTGACTCCACATGAAAACCATTTTTCCCTTTTCTATCACAACTGAAAATGTGTTTCATTTCTCACTCTCTTTCTCTCCCTCTCTTCTCCCAATTTTATCCTCATTTTTATAGTAATTTCTTTCTATTCAATACTCGAATGCAATCCTCAATAAGAAAGTGATAATAAAAAGCGAACCAATGGTTCAATGGATAGACATAAATATTATATCAATATCTCCTTTAATATCAAAATCTCAGCCAATATTTTATTCACATGTCATGCCTTTAATATCACTATTCAATTGCTATTCAATTATTATAAATAAGAAATATTCCCGCATTTATTGGCGAACTGTTTTAGTTATATAGATTAATGATAAATATTTTACATGATAACTCATTTAAATTAATTGTCAATTATCATTAATACATAAAATTTAATCAATTTTATTTTTCGACAATTTTCAATAATAACTGCATTTATATTAATTGAAATAAATTTTATATTTCATGGCGTAAAATGAAAATATTGAATATAATAGTAGTCTTCGTAATATTATATTAAAAAGAGAGACAAAATGATTGCATTTTTCTAATAAAAGATTTCTGGCTTTTATTGTCATATTATATGCGATATATTAATATAATAACACAATAAGCAGAGTGAGTGCTGGTCTCGTATATTATTATACAAGTTATTGGCGTTTAAAACACACATAATATATATAATAGTTGATAGAAAATGGAAATTGTGCTCAACTGTTGTGGAAGAATAGGTGACTGACTTATGTTGTAATTGTGTTGAATTGAATCGATGCGAAAATGTGGGCAAAGAATGTTATTATAGTAATAGTAATAGAGTTTGTATGTATGGATAATATGATTGCCATCGATGTCATAACCTATTATGCCTTCTCTCTCTCTCTCTCTCTCTCTCTCTCTCTCTCTCTCTCTCTCTCTCTCCCACTTTTGTCATTGTATGGTATACTATAGTCTATAAGTTTATTTGATGCCTCTGTGCTCTCCTATTAAATCATAAGATCTTAATTGAAATCTTGTCAAAACACAGACAACAGCCAACGAAATACACGTGTCATATGTATCCATAGCAACAATTCTCTCTCTCCCTCTTCTCAGTGCTCCAGTCTATCAAATAATGTATTATTTCACATCTCATACTCTCAATACACACACACTTATATTGAGCACAAATAGCTCTCCACTCATATAAACAGTATTAGTATTAGAGGAAAGTTAGGCAACTGTTACCAGAATCACAATAATAGGCAATAGAAAGGTTGCAGTCTTTGCAGCGCTTCGTAAAGAATGGCTACAATTGGAGTGAAGAGAGAGAAGAGAATATCGTTTCGACAAAAACATAATAGCATTGCATTGAGTGGCGGAACGATTGGACCGCAGAATAAGCACAGATCGCAAACACTAACAACAATAATATGTTTGTCATATAAAGGGATTAAATAGAAATTCAATTAAAACTCCGCACAATAGGCCGTCTCTATAATGAAATTGTGTGTCAATTAAATTTAATTTACATTAAATTCTAATTAAAAATAATCCAATTAATGAGGCAAATGGTTACGCCATTGAACTCAAGCCAAACGCTGATCACATTTTGACAATAATATGAAAAAAGTTTCTCATAATATATATAATAATAATACAATAGCCTATCGAACGACACATACAAATGACAATTGAAATGGAAAACTAAACTCAACTAAACTCGAGGGTAAGCCAGAAGAGGAGGAGAGACGAGACCATAGCGAGAGAGAGAGAGAGAGAGAGAGAGAGAGAGAGAGAGAAGGCATAATAGGTTATGACATCGATGGCAATCATATTATCCATACATACAAACTCTATTACTATTACTATAATAACATTCTTTGCCATTTCTTATTGAGGATTGCATTCGAGTATTGAATAGAAAGAAATTACTATAAAAATGAGGATAAAATTGGGAGAAGAGAGGGAGAGAGAGAGAGAGAGAGAGAGAGAGAGAAGACAAGCTGTTGTCGCACAACAACGGAAATCACAACACTTTACACTCTTTTGCAGCGACTCTTTAGTGGAGTTCTCTGTGCTCTTCGTTCAGGACTTTGAATGGATTTCAATATAGCTTTCAATATAACGGCAAATATTTTCTTTTTCTATTGAAATCACTCTTTATATTGATATTCGTTATTACAGTATATTATATATATTTGGCTGTATTTATAAGGCTGTGAGCACTCTATGCCTCTATTCGGCAATTCTTACAAATTTAATAAATGCTTTTATAATGCATTCAATTCTCTCACTTCTATTCACAACAACACATTCTGTGATGAAAAGAGTGAACAAATTTAATAAATAATATTATTTTTATGATATAATTAAATGATATGAAGCTATGAAGTGATCAAAATATATGTGGAAATTGCTTTGCCTTTAAGCCGATTATAAGTTAAAACAGAAATAGGCGTCAAATATAACCAATAATTCAGTGAATAGTCGACTCCCAGACTCTGATTCTTTACATAAACGGCACTCAAACTCCAGGTTCTCTGCCATTCAATACAAGTGCCCATCACTTAATTCTTAGCCAATCCTCTGCCCCTCTAATCCTTATATCTTTGTATTGCAGGCAAACCTTCAATTATTTTCATTTCAATTTATATTCACATAAAGTGTGAATCAAATCAGTAATGGATATGAAGTCAGTTTCGGGTCCTATCGTCGCGACGCGTCAACCGTTGACTGCAATGACCGCAAACAACAACAGCCCGGAGTGCGCCGCCTGTCATAAGGCCATTAGAGAGCGCTATCTGTTGAAAGCGTTGGACCAGCTCTGGCACGAAGACTGTCTCAAGTGTGCCTGTTGTGACTGCCGGCTCGGCGAAGTCGGATCCACTCTCTTCACCAAAGCTAATCTCATTCTCTGTAAACGCGATTATCTCAGGTATTGTCTCCCAGACCGCGAGTCAGCGCCCATTTAACACAATACACATATTATCGCTTCTCTTTCTAAACAAACACTTAATTAACATTTGTTTTCCTTATATTTGTTTGCTTTAAATTAAGTATTGGTTTTTGTGTGTTGTGTCCAAAATAAGGTTATTCGGTACGACTGGTCTGTGCTCTGCCTGTAATAAAACAATTCCTGCATTTGAAATGGTAATGAGGGTTAGAGGAGGACATGTCTATCATTGTGAGTATACCTCCACTTCTTTTCATTCATTCTTCTAATTACTCTCTCTCTCTCTCTCTCTCTCTCTCTCTCTCTCAAAGTAATTATCGTAAGTGAGAGGTGTTTCATATCATTAAGAAATTTCCTTTGGTGAAAATTCTTCTCTCTCTCTCTCTCTCTCTCTCTAATGTTGTGTTAATTTATTTTCTTTTAGTGGAATGCTTTCAATGCAATCAATGTAGCCATCGGTGAGTTTCTGCTCTCTCTCTCCCCATCTCTTTCAATACACATACAGTATATATGTTTGTGCTCTCAAGTAGTGTGTAATGCACTTCAAAAACCAATTAAAAAATTAATTAATTTTGGGTCCAAAATAGAAGTAATTACAGTATTTGTTGCCTTAATGTTAGTCACTATTAATGAATTTAATTGAATATTCATTTTTTTGTCTTTTTTAATGTAATATTTTCGATGCAAATTATTTTTATTTTAATTAACATTTAGCGCACTATTGGTTTGTAACATAAAAACCATTCACTCTTTTCATATCTGGCTTTGAAGTGAAAGTGAAATACTTTTTATTAATAATATTTTTATTATCGTTTAACTTATAGCGAGAGAAAAAGTATACTTTAATTACATTTTCCCCAATTGTTTAAATAATAAATATTGGAATTTCTATAAACAAATGTATGAATTTTGTCGACAGATATTAATCACGAATCGTGAATATTATGACAAAAATACAGTAAAATATTTACCACAAAAATGTAGCCGAAATACAACTAATTATAAACCAAACAATGTTTACAACAAAGCTATGGAAATAGGAAAAGAAAAATTTAAGTAATTTGAAATTGCAATTAAAGATATTCTTATAGAAAGGATAACCCATTCTATAGAACATTCATTAGCTGTAGAATTCTTGTTAAAGTATAGCCACTGACTTAATCTGGGATTTCATACGATTTCCCATAAGGGTTAGGGGGAGGGAAGCCTATGCCATAAACCGCAATTATGCTGAATTGTTGGTAGAAAAGAGCACATGTACTGTATATATAAATGTGTATACATTTATGAATAGAATTGAAAAATGTAATAATGTTTGTGCTGTGAATGTATTGGTTGTATTGGATGTATAGCTTCTGCATTGGGGACCGATTTTATTTATACGACAACCGAATACTGTGTGAATACGATTACGAGGAGCTGATAATGTTTGGCGGCGGCTCTTATAACAGCTTAGATCGGCTGAAGA